GAGCTATGTTATTCGCCAAATAACTTCCAAAACCTTGCTTTGAGGACTTAATGATAGAAGATTGCTCCATTCTAAGATCTTTAATTGAAGAAACAGAAGAAACATCCAATTGCAGCGGCTTAACATCTCTTCAGCTGTTTCGGATTTCAAGGTGCAGAAATTTGACATGTTTACCAAAGGGGTTGCTGCAACAAACCCTTGTAACATTATAGATAAGAAGTTGTTGGAATTTTTAATGATGGCCAATCCAGATGAATTATGCAGTAGCCTCACATCCCTTTAGAACTTGACGATTGAAAGATGTCCAAGATTGGCGGGTCATTGGGAGGAGATGCCATTTTTCCTGACCAGCCTTTAAACATTGACAATAGGTTTCTTATCACAGGAACTCGAATATTTCCCCTGGCCTTCCACTGTAATTGTTGCATCTGCATCTGCTTCCACTTCAGCTTCTGCTACTGCAACTGTAGAGGATGAGGTTGATGATGATACCAAATATCACCAAAACCCCTAGCGCTACCTTTTCATCTCCTTGGTGTCTCTGTCTTTATGGGGGTGGAAAAGGGTCAAGTATCTGCCTGATCAACTTCAGCACCTCACTACCTTGAGACACTTGTCAATTGCAGATTTTGATGGACTGGACGCTCTGCTGGAGTGGCTGGGTAACCTTTCATCCCTTCATTCTTTGGAGCTTTGGGGTTGCAAGAATCTGATGAATCTTCCCACCTTGGAAGCAATGCAGCACCTCACCAATTTACAATCTTTGCAAATTAATTGTTGTCCCCTCTTAAATGAAAGATGCTCAAGGGAAAGTGGCCAAGAATGGCACAAGATTGCCCATATTCCATCCATCGACATCGCGTAGAGTTAAAGGTAACTTGTATAGTTCTCCAATAGTAATCCATATTCATGATTTATTCTCTTCTTACCCAATCCCATCCCCCACCTTCCCAATGTTGTTTGATCGTTTCCTTCATCTCACTACCTTTTTTGGGTTTCAGGTCACGAGACATTTGATTGATGATGAATCTTCCTCTACAAATGATGAATCTTCTTCTTCAAGATGAAGAATGAAATACTCTACTGCCAATTATGTATTTTCTCTCTCTCTCTCTCTCTTCTCTCTCTCTCTCTCTCTCTCTCTCTCTCTCTCTCTCTCTCTGTGTAAAGTCCATCAGTTTTATTTGGTCTCTAGTGTACGCTTTGCCAAACCATGAGTATAATGGTTTGTAACATTTTTTTGTACTCTTTGAAAGTTATATATTTATATATATTTCTATTCCCAGGTTTATTAATATCTTTGTGCTCCCACAAATTGTTATGTTGCAGGGTCTCTTCTACAAGTAGAAGTTCCAGTTTTTCTTCGAGTGTAAACGCTGGATTTATTAATGGTCGATACAGGGAGAGGAGGTAATCATTGGTGCACATGATTTTTCGCAATCAGAGCAATGTTATGCAAACTTGGTAGGCTGTTCCTTGAATGTTATTAGTCATTTGAGTTTTTCTTTTGTAATTTTCAAGCTTAATAGTTCCACTTTGTCAATTGAAGATTCTCGTCAAATGAAAACTAAGTAATTTCTATAATCAACCGGTCTTCAAAATGCTTTCCTGCTTAGTTTTGAGCCAAATTTTGATTTTCTATAGCTAGCAAAAAAACAATTAGGAAGGTATGCCCGCACTCGTGTGTTGCATTGCATCGATCTTCATGACACAAATGTTAGTTTTATGTTGTTATTAATGAAGGCATGTGAATTGAATGAGCTAATTTTTACAAAATGGGAAGAGAAAAAAATGATTTCTTAATTATATTAGTCAACTTTGTTTTCAGAACATGAGAATTATTATATTTTCTGCAACCAATTCAAAAGGCCAATTTTCAATGTTAATCAAAATTTAATTTTATGGATTTTTTATCCGTCCTAAAAAATTATTTATAGGTTTGATTAGAATGTTGCTGAAATTTGAGGATTTTGTATCCTCCTAAAAAATCATTTGTGGGATTTGGTGAAATGACATGTTTTAATTTTGAACAAATGCTTTTCTGATTTTCCAGTTTTAACTAATTTCATTTTAGCTGATGAAGCTAAATGATCAAAATTTCACAATGAGATGGTGCTCTAACTGTGGGTTCTTGAGAGCATTGCTTTTTAACTGAGCTATGTCCAATTAAGCTGTTGAAAGTTGTATATATCTTCATAAAACATGTACGGAGGTAGATTGAGTAGGAGACAATTAAACAGAAGAATAGTTGTCAATAGTTTTGGGTCACACAAACATATTTGATCTGTTTTCCTAATTTTTGACATAATGTAGGCAGATAACCTAATGTTCATAACTAGCATCTCATCCAAATTACTCCCTCCGTCCCAAAATATTAGTCCCTTATTCCATTTTTCATTGTCCCAAAATATTAGTCCCTCTTCAAAAATCAAGTACAAAAATAATATAAATTCCTATTTTGCCATTCTTTTAAATTAATAAACAATATAAAAAGTACAATTATGACATTGATATTCCCAAAAAATGTACTATAAAAAGGGTAATTTTGGAAAATTAACTTTTTTTCAAATGCAATAATTGTACTACCAAAAAAAGTTAGATTCCCCAAAAGGGACCATTATTTTGGGACAGAGGGAGTACAAGAAATCAAGTGATGATAGATTTTTTTTTTTTTCATTCTTTCCCTGTAATTCAGTCTGTTTGAGGATCTATTTTTTGTGTTACCAATTTATTCTGATCTTATTTCAATTGGGAGCCAACAATACACATGAAAATTGCATACTTGATGGCTTGAATTTTGAAATATGTGGAGCTTACGCTTGGGTTCTTAGTTTAAAGTGCTTGGTCTAGGTTACTTTATACTAGAAGCATTAGAGTTCAGACATTTATGAATTAGTGTGTCTTATTTAACAGAATTAACTGTAAAAATAAATTTTTTAATTACTCTCATATACAATAATAAAATTACTTAAATTAATATTTGAAATAAATTTCTGACATCAATAAAAATTGTTAATTAACTTAATAATTTATTAATAAAAGGACTAATTTGTTATGAAATTATAAATTTCAAAGGCGGGACGCAATTTTTAAAATCATAGGAGACAATTTGTATTAAGCAAACATCAAGGGGTATGTTTATAATTTCTCAAAAAAAAATATATAATAGGACTTTTTAGTCCCACATCAACCCCAAATAGGACCACTGGAAGTAACTAAGAAGGTGCAATTTGAGGCCTAAGGTGTGTTATGTTCAGGTCTCAGTTTCAACTTCCACTAGGTACTATAAACTCATTGAGGCTACGTTCTCAGGCTTTGCCCGATCCACTTAGAGAGGGCACTTTACATGAATCTCCAAATTAATCGAGACCAGCATAAGCTAGCCTGAACATCTAATTATCGAAAAAAAAAAGTCATTTTAAGATAATTTAATTTACAACCTTGGTGACAAGCATCAAAAATTCTAAAACCTCATTTGTTTTTCAATTTTCTACAGAGTGTCCGGGCTAGATTAATGCACTCGATTAAATTCATCATCAGCTTGTTGTTGGTGGATTTAATTTGTTATTATTATTATTTATTCATTTTTTAATACATTTAATTCGTCGCTTCATCGTCTAAACTTTGATATGCACATATATTATGTGGCTGAGGAAAAATTATTGGATGGTCCAAGGCACTACATGGCCATGTCTTTGGCCAATCTCAAACTCTCATACCTTCTTATGGTCCTCAATCAATCACTGAACAAAAAATCATAAGTGATATCCTGTCCACCAATCAGAACATACTTGGGTCATCACGTGGCTGTGTCCCAGGACCAACGAATAACTTCTCAAGGTTGAGCCACATGTGCCATGTGTATTCTAACGATCCAACGGTAGAAAATCATCACACAACACCACGACTTCAATGCCCAGTCGAGTCGGGGCGAGACGAAGTCGCTGATGAGTGAGGAAGAATCTGACGGAGGGGTCTCTGTTTTTTTTGGGTTTGTTGTTTAGGGTTAATTTTTTTATTTTTTTACGAAAGGACATAAAAAGTAAAAAAAAAAAAGTTTAATTTTTATATAATTTTATATTTTTTTTACAGATATATATATATATATATTTTTTTTGTGACTAAAGCACATTCATTTGAAAACGGCCCTCACTAATTTCATATTTTTTTGTTTTAGAGATGAGATTAGCATTGAAAACATCTGATGAAAAGGGATCAATTAATGGGGTCGTGATTGATCTCTCTGAAAGTTAAACAAATTATGGTTTTCTATGCTATATATGTATGAGAAGATCAATTAATTTGGAGGAGAAGTGATGATCGACAGGGGAAAAGATGGAGGATGTGTTTTTTTTTTATAAGAAGATAATGTTGGTGGGTCTTCTCTTCTGAATCTGTATATAATTAATTACTGTAATTGTAAGAGCATATGGAGGGTTTTGTCTTCACCAGATTTTGAAAGGCGGAGACAGCTAAGTTAAAGTATCTTTATTTTTTTACTAATTTTATTTTAAATTAAAGTAAAGTATTTGATTTCATACGAATTATTTTAATTATTTTATTATTAAAATTCTTCTTTTATTTCAAAATTTTCTTATCAAATTTGATGGAGAAAATATCATATTTAAATATCATCTTCTGAAATTTTTATCAAATTCAAAAAATATTTCTTCTTTTAGATAGGGAAAGCAATTACACACTGGTAGAAACTTCCAACTCCACCAACATCATTAGAGATGAGTACCTCCTCTATCCAAACCCCATAGTGATTCAAAATCAAAGGCTCAGCAATTTGATTTAATAGACACAACATTAGTGAGACCCCTTCAAGATGAACATCACCTAGCCCCAGATCCTGCCCAAACTGTAATGCTTTTACCGCACATAGAGCTTCAACACAGTCCACATCCGTGAGATAAGGCACTTGATCAACCATAGGGGCAATCACCTTCCCATTACAATCTCGCACAACGACCCTAAGACCAGCAGCTTCCTGCGCCATGCACATAGAACCATTAAAGTTGAGATTGAAAATCCCAACGCCAGGTGCCAGCCACCGTCGCAGCTGGGTAATTGGAACATGAACTTGACATGTAGGATTAGGCTTGAGCAAACTCCTTAGCTCTATGTTTGGTTGAAGGATTTGACAAGGGGTTTGGGAAGGGAAAGGCAAAAGATGTGTGAAATTAGGTAAAATGTCGGAATATATTATTCATATTTTACCTACCATTTCCATTTCCCTCCCTAAATCTCCCAACTAAACAACATAGCAAAGGAAATAAGCTCATTTGCACTTTGTTGTTTAGTGTCGAAAATCAAGGAATTCCTATTATTCCAAAGGCACCAACAAATAGCAAAAAACAAATCCATGCTATCCGAATCTAGCCACATCATGAGATCATAAACCCAATCAAACACATTAGAAAGAGGAAGAGGACTGAGAACCGTCAGTAGTGGGCTCCCCCCACACTTGCGCTGCAAACCAACAATTATGAAAACAATGTTTGCCCTCACAGGCAATAAACCGAGGCACATTTTAAACCCAAATGTCTTTATCTTGCTTGGAATTTGGAGACGCCAGAACCCCAGCCAAAATTGCTTTTGCTCATTGTAATGACCCAATTTTTTTTTTTTTTAAAATAGCCAGCGCATAATTTAATTGAGCAAATTTTTGAATTTGATTGCCGTGTAAATTCTGTGTGAAAACAGTTCGATTTTGTATTTTTTAAAGACAGTTTCCGATCTCAGAAAATTATGAAATTTTTATATGTTGTTCTCATATGAGTCTAGCACGTTGGATAAAAATTCCAAAATTTAATGATGAGTATTTATTTTATGAAAATTCACTGATTGGTGTTCATTTTAATTTATAGCAGAATTTAAAATTGAGTTTTGGGTGTTCAGACCATGATTTGAGATAAATCAGTTGGGGATTTATTTTAAATTATTAAACTCCATTCATTTTGGACCCAATTAATTGAATTGTGACCCGTTAGTAACCATGTAATAATGTTGTGGTTTTGTTATTATTATTTGACTACCATAAAAGAGTTATGAATATTTATGGTGTGCACCATTAAACGAAATATATTTTGTGGCGAAAAAATATTATATTTACTTTTGTCATTAAAGATGTTGAAATGTATTTTTGATTGATATATATATATAGGTGTATATATATATATAGTTAGATATTTATGTTAGATATTTGTTTATATAATATATATATATATATATATATATAAAAGTGACCAAATAGGATGTTTTGTTCAACTTTGGGTTCTTGCCGTGAGGAGCAAAAGAGAAAAAAAGGGTTTCAATGTTGGTTTTTCATGGGTTTGATCTAGTGTAAGTCATTTTTTATCCCTAGTGCTTTGGATCAAAACGCAGAGGGCGGAAAAGGCGTCATTTGGCTCCGAGTAGATTTAATTTCTATTGCCAAAAAATTTGAAAGCTTCTTGGCTTGAGATAGGGATTTTTCCTACACTTCTTTATGTACTTTTACTTGATTATATGGAGCTTAGAGCTGTATATAATTTAATTAGAATTTTTGGAAATTTTGTGATTTATTTGCTTAAAAGGGAAATTTTGAGAAAAATAAAGAGTTGATGCCCAAATTACAAAAGTGTAAACTTGGAATATGTTTGTAAGGTTATGAAAGAGTTATGTTTTAAATTTGAACAAAAACGGACTTTGACTCGATTGGTTTTGAAATTTTTACCAGTTTGTGACCAAAAGAGCATTTTTAAAGAAAACAAGGGAATTATGTTTAACTTTTGAAGCTTTTGATCAAAATAGGATGCCATAGTTGAATAATTCTTAGAGAATGAGTTTGGAAGGAAAATGATGTTTTCTTGGGCATTAACAGTATTATTTTGCTTAATGTATCTATTAGAATAAAACTGACACGGTTAGAAATGGACTTTAAGAGGTTACCGGACGTAATTGTGATATGAAAACTAGTGTAGTTGTTCATATTTGATGAGATGTGAAATAGGTTGTATTTATCAGAATTTTTGAAATTTAATTGTTTAAATATCTGTTTAGAAATATTTGTTTTGGGTTATCGGTGAAGGATAGCCATGATTGTTGTAGAAATGCATGAGACTTAGGTAAATTGAACCACATTCCTCATTTGTTGCATTGGACATTGCATTACATTCATTTCATTAGAAATGTATCTATTTTTGAGAAATGCTTGGAAATGTATCTGTTTGCGAAAAGATAAATACTTGGTGAATCTGGGTGGGGGGTGTAGAACTGCGCAATTAGGTATCGAGCCTTCTAGTTTACTGGTAAAAATGACAGTGGTAGTGCATTAGGGTCCACTTGCAGACACTCACCTAGAGATTCACAAAGCCTGTATTCATGGAACAGATATGCTTTAAAATGGAAATGGTTTTATATCAGTTGTTACATCTCAGCATTGCATGCTTTATAAAAAGAGAGATAAACTGTTTTATCATGAGCATGGCATGAGCATACTCCTTTTTAGTCTTGTCATGGTCCATATATTGTGTAGTATATCTTTACTAGGCTGTGGCTCACCCTATAAGGGAAATCATTTTAGGTATAGGTGCTATGCCTCCGCCAAGGCATTGACATAGGAGAACTCAAAGCTGAGGCTTTATTTTTGTTTTATTATTATTTGTTGAATGTAAGCTCAGGGCTATATTTGCGTTGAGTTGAAACTCCATTTTGTGTAACCAAGAATGTTCTTGGATAAATTTGTGAGCCTGTAGGACACTTATTATCTGTTCGACTTCCATTTCATACTTGTTGTAAAATGTATGCTAGGGATTGGAACTGGGGCATTGAGATGTGAATAGCATGTATTTGGCATTTTGGGATTTAATGGAAATGGATGTATGGAATAGTTAGCTATATATATGTGTTTGTCTATCAGGTGGGTTTTGTAGCATAAATAGATATGCCCTGCCCAATTTTCGGGGCGTTACACTCATACCCACCATTCGAATTGGTTGCTTGCCAGGGCAAACTCTCCCTACCAACCCATAAATAATACGCCCAACGTACTATTTCGCGTAAAATGCCAAACCAACTTGTCAGTGGGAAGATTGGGGCAAAAAGGTATACATCAAATTTATAAATTTTTAATTTGATGGAAAAAATGACTCTCACTTAATTTAATGAATGTTTAACAAAAAAATTAAATATGATTTTTTAACATATTTTTTAATCAAATTTAAAAGGTCAAAGATTGGAGATGCTCTATTGAGAATGAGAGAAATAAAAGAGTTGGTGATGAATTGAAAAAGAGAGAGTTGAAAGATTCAGACTAAATTTTTTATTAAATATATAGACATTCAATTTGAAAAAATAATGACTCATCCCATATGTTCTCATCTCTCAATTATTTGAGAAATGATAGCTTGAAGCTTCCCAACACCTTCCAACTTCACAACACAAAAATTTGTTTTGTATTCTCAAGTAATTCTTTCCAATCCAATCCAATCCAAGTTTTCTTTCGGGATTGTAAGGAAAAAGAAAGATCAAAGATGACTGTTGTTGTTCTCATCTCTGTAGCTTAGGTGATCCTGAATCCCTTGATTCCACTAGCAACTGAACAGATCAAGCTGGCATGGGGTTTCAAGAAAGATCTCGAAACCCTCTGTAGAAGGTTAACAATCATTCAAGCTTTGTTAAGCGATGCTGAGAACTGGAGACTAACATCAACAATTATGTGCGAGTGGTTGAAGAAACTCAAGCTGGTAACCTGTGATGTTGAGAATGTGCTGGATGAGTTTGCGTACGAAACTCTTCGAAGAAAGTTGGAGGTGCAAAACCAAATGAGAAACAAGGTACGCAATTTGTTTTCTCTCTCCAATCCATTGGCTTTTCATCTCAAGGAGGGCTCATAAGGTCAAGGATATCAATTCAATGTTAGATTTGATTTGCAAAGAAATAAATGACATCGGTCTTAAACCAGCTGATTAGTTCTTAAATGCTGCTAGTACTAGTGTTGAACCTAGATATTTGAATTTTAGGCCGACTCACCCCTTTGTAGACGATTCACAAGTTGTTGGAAGGGATGGTGATGTATCAACTATGATATACATGTTAATTGGCTCCTATGAGAGTGGAGATGATTTATCTATCATTGCCATTGTAAGAATGGGTGGGATAGGTAAGACAACCCTTGCTCAGCTAGTTTACAACAATAAGACGGTGGTGAAGCATTTTGGTGATCAAAGGATGTGGATTTGTGTGTCTGATGATTTCATAGTTCCAAAGCTATTAAATCAGATGGTACAATCTCTTACTGGGGATAAGTTTGACACAGAATAGTGAGAAATCTTGTAGCAAAACTAAATGGACAAAAGTATTTGCTTGTACTAGACAATGTTTGAAATGAAAATCTACACTCATGGGAGTGCATGAGAAATTCTTTGATAGGGATCGGTGGATCCAAGGGAAGCAAAATTATAGCGACAACCAGGAGTATGCACGTGGTATCTACCATGAGGACATCTCTATCTCTTACTCATCATTTGAGCCAACTATCAGAAAATGAAAGTTGGACCATGTTTTGGAAAAGAGCATTAGCAAATGGAGGACCAATAGAGACGCAGAATTTGGTGGCTATTGGTAGAAAAATGGTGACAAAGCGTAAGGGTGTACCATTGGAAATAAAGTCACAAAGAGGTTTAATGTACTCTAAGCAATACATTTACGAATAGGTGTCAATCGAAAACAATGAAATATGGAGCTCAACTGAAATCAAAAGTGAAATTCAACCGATATTAAGGTTAAGTTTTGGTCACTTACCATCACCATATTTGAAACATTGTTTTGCGTATTGTTCTATTTTTCCAAAAGATTTCAACATTGAAAAGGATAAGTAGATTTAGCTTTGGATGGCTCAAGGATATCTCCAACCTTTTTTGGGAAGCAATTTGGAAATGGCAGATGTCGGTAATAATTATTTTAATATTTTGTTGCACAATTCTTTATTTCAAGACATTAAATTGGATGTGGACAATAATATTATTAGTTGCAAAATGCACGATCTTGTGCATGATTTAGCACTAGATGTCTCAGAGGGTAAGTGTTTGGCTTTGACTTCGATTGCTAGTGAGGCAAATTACCATCCCAAGGTTCAACATCTATCATTTGATTTAATGCCACATGTATGTTTTGAAACTCCAAAACAAAATGTTGGGAAACTAAGGACTCTATTTTTAAGAAAAAGTCTCCCTAGAAACATTTATGAAATCGAGTGTATACGTGCCTTGAATTTGGTACAATGCAATACGAACGAGTTGTCAAATTCCATATGTAAGTTCATACATTTGAGATATCTTGATCTCTGCAAGTCATATATTGAAACACTACCAAATTTTGTCACCAATCTCTACAATTTGCAACATTGAGACTTTCATCTTCTAACCATTTGAAAATGCTTCCAAAGGAATCTTGTAACTTAGTTAGCTTGAGACATCTTTATATTGAAGATAGAAAAGAGAACAGAAAATTGATGCCAATGATGATAGGGAAGTTGACTTCTTTGCAAACGTTACCATTCTTTATTGTGGTTGAGGATAAGGGCCAAAAAATTGAAGAGCTGGGTAGCTTAAGCAAACTAAGAGGTAAATTAATGATTTACAATGTCTAACAGGTGAAAAGCAGGAAAGAAGCAAAAAGGCAAAAATATTAGTAAAACCAAATATTTAATATTTGTAAGTTGGGATTTCCCTGGGATAAGGTGGACAATCCTTCAACAACAGATGACAATACTAGCATTAACCATGAAGACGTGTTGGAAGGACTTACACCTCATGGGAACCTTAAGGTTTTAAAACTCAAGAAATTTGAAGGGCAAAATTTTGCATCATGGATGATGAATGATAGAGATGCATACTTGCTTCAAAATTTGGTTAAAATAGAATTATCCGAGTGTACAAGATGTGAACATGTAACGCCCCAAAAATAATCCCACAAAAATGAAATGCATAACAAACATCCACTATATAATAATAACAATACTCCAATCAGTACACCATCAATCAACAAGAGTTATACAAAAGTTCCACATGCAAATTATACATTCAACGATATAGAAATACATGAATCTATAGCATGTAGAGCATTATGTTCCAAAAATAATAAAATGCCCTCATGGGCTTAAAATTTCCAAGGCTTAAGCCCAGTTACACAAAAATGGCCTCTCGGACCCATACATGAATAGCCCTTGGCTAGCAATTAAATCATACAAAACAGAGCAATTACTCTTCACAACATATCCACACCCTCAACTTGGCGGGATCACCACGTCTTTTCCTGTACCAAAATCCCATAGGGGTAAACATAAAGCCCAGTAGAGAATCCTTACAAAGTATATACAGTTATGCAAATTTTCCTACATTTAATGCAAATGCAAATGCCATGCAATGCCATTTCAAAGATAATTTCATTTCATACTCTTCTTGAAAATCACCAAGTTTTCAATAACTATTTGCAATCTCATCAATTTCAAAACCTCCAATTTTAATCAATAGGGGCGGTAAATACGACTCAGGTTATCCCTAGGTTGGTGTCTGCAAGTAGGTTCAACAAGCACTACCAATAACCCCACTTTACTGGTTGCTAACCGGAAAAGAAGTGGTACCTCCTCCGCTCGTGTTTTCAGTCTTTCAGCCCGGACACTTAGGCCAACTTATCAATTCATCTACACCTTCTAACCGGACTTACCAATGTATTTACCCCATACACATTTCCATAATTTCGTTTCACATTATTTCTTTTCTCAAATAATTGATTTCCAAACTCAATTCAAGATGCATAACAATAATAATAATCGAATCAAAATGTAATGCAATAATCAATGCCACATAACCTTTCTCCATTTTTCCTCCCTCCAATGTTATTTCACAAAATAACCAAGTACACACCCAAAGCTATCAACATATAGCAACATTTTCTCCTCATGCACAATTCTTAACAATTTAGTCTCTTCAAGACTATATGTAATGTTTTCGAACATCAATTTCCTGGATTTACAATTCTCACAAACAATGGTACACAACAATTTGCTACCTCACAACTATACATGTTCATGTGTTTAACAAATTTTTTAAAATAAGTTCTCAATTCTCATATATCAAGAAGATTGCCACTTTGCAAACCATATTATGAAATCTACTCTCATTCGTTCTTTTAACACAAGAAAAGAAGGAAATCCATAGGTTTTTCCATATTTTCCAAAACCCCAAATTTCTAGGGTTTTTTTATTAAAACCAAACATCTCCCCATTTCCTTAGTGAAAACCCATCAAAATCATCTTCCTTAAATTAATGAAAGTGAAACCCTCAAGGATCGACTTTGAAACATTTGAAATTTAAACCCTCTTTTAAAAAAATCTCTACATTCTTGAGCCAAAACCAAACTTTCAAAATAACTTCAAGAGAACTTTAAAATCAACATCAATCTTGCAAAACATGTATACATAACTCAAGGAAGTCCCAACCTCAAGTTTTGATGAAGAAAAGAGATGAAACCCTAGATTTGATGGTGTTGAAAGAGATCTCCACCGCACACAATGTAGCTCTTGAGGAGTTCTTAATCTTTGATGAAGGAGCTAAGGTTGAATCTCAAATGGATAGAAGAAGATCAAGGGTTTTGATCTAGTTTAGAGGTAGAGATATAGAGAGAAAGGAGAGCAATATATTTTTAGAGAGAGAGAGATACATAAAAAGTGATACACACAGCCAAAAAGAGAAGAAAAAACAGAGCCCCTTGGATTCAGGCCCGTCCATATGTGCGGCACTTGCCCCTGCACGTGCGGAGCGTGTGTAGACGCGCCCGTGGGCCTCGTGCTACTACAGTTCGGACTCGATTTGTGTCACGGTTCTTAATCTGAACCAAAGAGTCCAAATCTGGCAAATCGTTTTGAGAAACAGATTTTTGAAAAAGTAGTGCCAAACATGGACTGCTTTGCCAGATACAGAGTCGCCACCTAAATATTTTTTTTTTATGGGAGAATTTAGGAAACCCTGACTCGGTGCCGAAGGCCACATGTCCGTCATCACCGGAGTTGTCTCGGCTCGGGAGCTTGGGTACGATCGGGGAAGGTCAGCTATGAGCACCCCCTTTCGCCCGGTCCGAAGACCGGCCTCTACTAACCGTGATATCCAATTTTGAAAACTTTATGTGTTCTTAAACCAATTGTTAGCCTAGAATTACTATGTTATGCGCACAGCAAACAAGTATAGACCAAATCGCCCAAATTGGAACAAAACATTTCATGTTTGTTTGAAAATGGTTTGCTACTCGCAAGTAGGCTAAAATGCAGATTTTGCCACCCTCAAGTGGGCTTTTTAGAAAAGATGATTTTGCCACTATCTAGTGGGCTTAAAACTCACAGTTTTAATGCATTATTCCAATTTAGGTAATTCAACCTCCATCCACAGGCATTCAAGCAGTTATATCACATAAGCAGCTAGCCTCATGGCAACATTCACACGTATGTGATATGCTAAAACATAAAAAGCTTACCTAGTACTCCGAGCCAAAACAGAAACTAGTTAGTAATCATATGCATGATCCTAGTTCATGTTAAAAATGGCTAATGCAACACATACGGGATGCAATTGAAGTAGGCTCAACTAACCTAAGCATGGCATGTGAGATGCAATCAATTGATGCACGTATTCAATTTTGAAATTAAAATGCAAATGCAGTTAGCATGATGTGCCGAGCCTGATGCATGTCAACAAATGCATGAATGCACGCATGCATAGCATAAGGTATGCTAAAATAAATGTGCCCTAATCTACCATCATAAGCAGGTAAATAAAAGGGAAGAAAGAAGTGGGGTTGGAAGACATACATCACACGCACGCACACTTATTACACAATTGCCCTCACTCGGAGGGTCCAAATAAATATTACAGTCCGAATAAATAACTAAGCACATTAATTATTACAGAATTTCTAATTACTGAACAAAATGAATGCAGAAAGAAGAAAGGTGGCCACAGCCCCCGCCTCGGGATGCGCGAACGATGCAAGCTTGAACCCGTCTCGCCCGGAAAGTCCGTACCATGCCACTGCCGCCTCGGTTTACACTGCCCTGCTTCTCTGAAAAGTGCCAAAGTACTGGGACAGGCTTGTTGCATACTGCAGAGTGCCACCGGCTGGGGGAAATGCCCACCGGCAGTGCATAATTTCCATCGGCAGATGATGTAATTATCGGCCAGCCACCAATTGCCGGTCGGCACTAAATGATGCCGGTCGGCAGAACAGAAAAAGCAGAAACCAGGAGAATGAACTTGTCGGCCGACCAGGTT